ACTGCATGGGACGGTAGCATCGGTCACGGTGCGGGACAAAGCCCGAACTGTCAAAAGCCCGGCCCCTGATTCTCCAACACGAGGAGGCAACGCCGAGGGCCTCCCCCCCCCCCTCACACCCCCTCTGATGTGATGGAATGCGATGCTAATCCCGTCAAGCCACTGACAGGTACAGACACGGAAGGTTTTTTCCTCGTCAACGTCGAATATATGACACCCTCGGACCTCCTCTTATCCTTGAGGAACCCTGGGAAGAAAGCGAGGCTCGCCCCCACACACCACCACATTTCCTCTATCTAGCTTGTGTTCTTCTCGCTCGAGTCGTTCCCGCCAAACCAACGTGCCGCGTCTCCTGTGTCCCCGTACATACACCAACCCACCGCCCCCCCCTGAGTGAGGAATCGGACGGGGAGGGGGGGGGGCCGGAGCTGCCCCGCCAGGAAACACTGAAAGCGAGGGTTGAAGCCCCACTAGCCCCTCACAAGCAACGAGCTGGGCACGCGGAAACCCTGGGTTGAGGTATATGATTTCATCTCCAAACGGGCTAATCATCGAAGCCTCGTTGGCTTAGTGGTAAAGCGCATCACTAGTAATGATGAGATCACTGGTTCGATTCCAGTACGAGGCATCGTGAGTCGTGGAATTCACCTTTTGCTCACCCCCGCGAGAGTGACTGCACTGCCCTTCTTTTTTGTTCTCTTCCCTTGACGTCGGTCGTTGGTTTCTTCTTGTCTTTTTTTTTCTTTTGTCTTTTTTTCTTTGGCCAATCGCGTAGCTTCGGGTGGGTGATACAGGATCGATCGAGATACCGCAAGCTTGTTCCTGGATTGGTCGTTTCAAGGTTAAGGTTCCTTTGATACTTACTTTAATGTTGTAAATGTACAGATCCAGGCCAATCACACGCAACAAGGTTGGAATGGTGCGCCCCAGGGAGGCATGAAGCCCTCACAGCGTTCCAAATGCACAAGCGTTTGAAGAGCATGTGGTAAGTGATATGATTAAACTACTATATACGCTACGAGCGACGCCCGTCAGGACACCATTACCAGGCCTCTCAGCCCTGCATCCAAGCTCGAAAATGTGAGCCGCCAGAAACGCCACCGAGACACGACAACACGTTGCCCGTGGTCCTCGCCATTGCAGATAATATCCCTATGCCTTGAAAAATCAAATCAAAAAAAATCGCTGTGCACACCGTACCCAGTCGCAACCGTCATCACATGCTGGCCACCTCGGCCGCCCGCCCGTCATCGTCGCCCTTCTCGGTCGGGTCCGACTAGTACTTGGTCGAGTAGCGCGCGGGCGACTGCGAGTACGAGTTGTCGTAGCCGCTGCCCTGTCCGTAGGGGTCGTCGGCGTAGACAGTGGTGCGGCGGTCGTCCTCGGGCAGAAGCTCCTTGACCTCCCAGTTGTTCATGCGCGTGCCGACGGAGAACTCGAGGTCCTCGCGGTGGG